GTGGTGGTGCAATTGTGCTAGTAGTAGCTACAAGTCGTTCTGACTCATCAGCAAGTCGTGCCAGCTCCGGAGCAGTGAGACAAAACTTCAAGAGCGTTGCTGGAGATGTTGTTATTCCAGAGATCCTTCCTTGGCCTTTCGTTGATTTGTTGAGGTGTTCCATCGCCTGATCAACACCAATTCGTGTGAATGGAATACGGTTGCTGGTATTCACTGCAAACTCACCATTGGTGAAGCTCTGCCATAGTTCTGGATTAGAGGTTTTTATGGCATCCATGCGTGCGATGAACTCTGGAATGTTTTGAGCATAATCTAGCCTGGCATATGCAAAGAAGTACTTACAAAGATGCTCAAGTGATATCAAGTAGAGGTGCCAGTTACCTTCCCGTATAGCCCTCTGGAACTGTAACAGTGTCATCACCTGCCGCATGTACATCCTAGCCCATTGAAACATTGGGTCTGTCTTACGACTAGCGTCAAACTCTCGTAGCTGTTTCTCAAGATTGAAGGATTCTATATCCATTTTGAATGCCTAGTGCGCTTCTGCAACGCCTGTCTTATCCCGGCATGCTTCAGTCAGCTGCTTTACGCTGGCTACCAAGGCGTCACGTACAACAGGTTGATCCTCAAGGAATTTCTCCATCCAGAGATCGAAGAGTGCCTGAAGAGTTAACTGGTGCGCGTTGATCGCTCTGTTGTATGTAATGATTGCCATTTAAAATCTGTGATACTGTCACGCTACAGATCTGCTTCTTGCCATGCGTCGTCAAGACCTTCAATTATTTAAAACGTTTATAAAATTATGACTTGATTAGATATGTGTTTTGACTAGAAATACAAAGTTAAAAACTAAAATAGAGTCCGATTGCATTTAAAAATTTAAAAATGCGTGGTAAGATTATATATATTTTTTGATAATAACGTCGAAAACCTGTTTCTATCCATGCAAACAGAGTTCAGATGAAAAGTTGTCTCAACTATAATGCATTTGGTACTCAAACTCTATGAACACATTTTTATTATACGTTTAAAATAATAGTGTGGTCTCTTATGTCATGAATTGAGCTCCC